GCATTAATGATTAGAGTAATTAACAAGTTATTGCTCATGTGTATTCATTTAATTGCTATATTGTATGTGTATAATCTTTATCATTTCCTAATTTTAGCATATGTTAAGGTTTTGTATCAGTAGAAGCATTCTTAATGTGGCTTACATAGTTACATAGCTGAAGAAATACGTGTCCTTTAAGTTCAGCTTTCCTCACATCTGTTTTTTGCTGTTGATCCAAAAGAAGGCAAAAAAACCCAGTCTGAAGCAGTTCCAAATTTGCAACTTTCCTTTGACTTAGACTAAATCTTTTTTCTTCCAGTCTATTTATTGATATTTCAAGATCAAATATTATTTCACCGTATTTTAAAATAATTTTTTATAATATTAGAGATGCCACTTTTAGTACAGTGTGGATCTGACAAAAATAACTCCAACAGCGATTGATTAACTTGTATTCCTGGTAGACAATCCTAAAACCGGCACTGCTAGTGTATCCACTGAGCATATTGTGATCTGTTCTAAAATAGGGAGATCTGGTGATTTTAGAACTAATTTGCAAAATAAAGGACACATTCACATCTCTGGAAAAATGTCCATCTTGAATGGATTAATTTGTTAGCATGACTTTTGAAAGTTTGTTCTCAAGTGTTTAGAACTTGCTGTATAGTAAATATATGCCACTATTCTATGTTATGCTGTGCTGAGATGTAGGTAGGTGTTGCTTTTTGACCTAAGATCCCATGATGCTGAACTCTGGTGTTTTTACTAAATCTACAGAAATTTCCATTAATTGATTTTATATTTCTTTCTTTCTAGATATATTGTCCGGGATCCATAAACTGTCAACTGACATGGTAAGACTACATTTTATACTAATTTACTAGCTCCTCCTTTTGTTCATCTCTAGACTGTAAGCTTGTTTGAGCAGGGTCCTTGTAACATTTTGTAATTGTCTCATTTATTGTTAGATCTCCCCCTTTATAATATTGTGAAGCACTGCTGAGTAAGTCGGTGCCTTATAAATGCCAATAATAATACTACTAATAATCAATACATTAAAATACTGGCAACATCACCTTTACTGACTTAATTTTTTTATTTTCATCACACTTATATTTTTATGTTGCTTTGTTTGGTAGTATTAACATTCATGACTTATATCTCTAATGTTGTTATTTTGTTACTTTATTTATAGTTTTTACTATTTTGGGCAATCTTTATTTTAGAACATGAGAAGTAAAATGTATGTTACAGAAGAGAAATGGTTAACAAAGTTATATATTTTCTTTACCCTACTATAATTGTACAGCCATGGTTAAATAATACAACACATATACTATGTGTATTCTCATTCATGCTTAATTAAAAAAAAGGAATCCACTACTATACACTTTGAACATAATTCTGTGGCCCATGTACATTGTTATGGGCATTACATCATATTTACATTTTCCATTCATCCATATAGAAAAGTCTCTATTCATTCAGTTTGTTGTGTTTCTTATGTGGCCAGAATTTCCAGTAAATTATGAAACAAATAAACAAAGTTTGCACAGAAAAACAGATAAAATGATGTAATGTGCCACGCAGCAACAAGGAACATTCTGAGCACCATATCCACTGCAGAGTGCTGTATTAGTTATGATACCAGGAGTTCCCTGGCACCACCCAGGTCTAAGTAGTGAAACCATTTTAGAACACATTACATTATTTTTCTGGGTGCAGCTCCCAGTCTCCTGCTTAGGAGTTTCCATTAGCTCTCTTGAGCTAAGCCATGCAGTGCAGAGCTAGCTCATTGTATGAAAGGAACCGCTGATCACTATTGGCCAATCAGCTAAGCCCTATTCTGCATGGCTTAGCTCAAGCAGAGCCTGTGCTTCTTGCTCTGGATCTCCTGTAGGTGTAGTGGAAAGGGGGGGGGTGGGGGGGGGAAGGGGAACAGCATTTGGCAGACCCCAGGTAGAAGTCAAATCATTCTAAAACTATTTGACTACTTATGGTGGAGGATGTACGTGGGCACTCCTTGCACCATAACCATTACAGAGTGCTGTGTGTTCCTTAAACATTTCATTTATGAGGAGGTAAGACATTTTTAAATTTTATCATCTGTACAGCAATACATGCATTTTCCAGTAATAATATATTTGTAAAGTAGAAGGTCTACAAAAATACACAAGCAAAAGTGCATATTATCTTTAATTTTGTTTATTTATATAACCCCTTAGTGACACAGCATGTTTTAGCTTGTTTGGAAGTTAAAATACATTTTTAGTCATGATGAAGCCGTTTTGGTGTATCTATCATATATTGTGTATCATACCCCTGCAGTTTCACTGCTCAGTTCTCTGTTATTTAGGAGTTAAATCATTGTGTTAATACAGCCCTAGTCACACCTCCTTGCATGTGACTTGCACAGCCTAAACATTTCCTGTAAAGGGAGATCTAATATTTACATTTCCTTTATTGCACAGTCTGTTTAATTTAGATTTTCTCATCTCCTGCTCTATTAATATGTTTTAGACCCTGTAAGGGTGATTAAAGTACAACTTACAGAGCTGGAGATTTTTTTCATGCAGGATTTGTGAGTCACAGCCAGGTGAGTGTGGCTAGAATGGCATAAACAGAAACAAAAGTAATTTCACTCCCAAATAGAGCAGTGAGACTGCAGATGCATGATATATGCACAAATATTGATTAAATAAGCTAAAGTTGTTTTGATGCTTATAGTATCAGTTTAATTACTAGAGCAATTTTGCCATTTTTGTTTTTAGTTTGTTTAACCATACTTTTTCTATATTTCAATTAGTGCACCCACACGTATTATATATTACTAGAAGACAGTAAGGACGTGATATATAATAATAATAATAATAATTTAATTAAAGAAACCCATTCTAGATTTTACAAAGCAGATATCCTAGGTTGTTTTTACATGGCAATTTACCACAAATCCCAGTTTACGATAATATACAACATTGCAGTGTGGATGTTTGTTTTTTCTCTGCTCTTGCAGTAAAAATATAAGCAGTGCTCAGCTATATCTCCAGATACATTAAAACTCTGTATACGTGTCTGGATTTTTTTCGAATTAAAAGTTTTTTTTGTCACTAAGGTAGAGGGGGTACAGAAAGAAAACTTTTGCGAAGTTACAGGACTATATTGAGAACCACTTAATTTTGTTTTCAACTTTGGAATTCTGACAGATTGTTTTGCTTTTAGCAGCTCAAATAATTTGCTTCACTCCAAAATTGCATTATATTTGAACATTTAGATGCCATGGGATCTCTCACATGGTTATTTTAAACCTTATTATGGTTCCACTCTTTCACCAATCTCTTTTACAGTTTGTATATTATTTTTTCTTTGTTAATTTTACACATACATTGCAACTTTTCTATATATATGATACATCTGATTTGTGTTCAATAGTAAAATGCTCAAAATTTTCCAGAGTACAGAAATACCCCCTTTGCAATTTAATTGTGAATTTTTTTGTCCATACAAAACTGCCATTTCATTTTTATTTCTACTGCATACTAAGCACACTATAAGGAGACTTTGCAATCTGCAGTATCGTCCTGCAATGCCATGCGTTGTACAGATGTTTGTATGCTAAACACCGATCCTTTATGAACAGCAGAACTCTAGGAACTGATCTTCAGAGAGCTGTTTAATTGTGGTAGAGAAATGTTAATTTGATAATAAATATTTTTTAGATTGTAAGTGTTTTTTAGCATTACTAGTAAACTTATAGCAATATTTTAAAAAACATGTGTGCTCTATTTCACAAATATATTCTTATACACGGAAGGTAAGTGAATTACCTGTGTGTCTTTTGTCAGTAACAAATTGTAGTCAAATTAAAAAATGCTGTTAGAAATAGCACACTTATTTAAACATCTTTCTCTGTGTTGATGTTGCTAATGCCGCTCTGTGAGTAAACTGCGCATGCCATATGGTAACTGAAATTATTATCCTCTTGGATATGAGTACTGGTTTGGGGCTAATGAGATTTTGTTTAATTGTTATTTAGTGATGTCCCGAACGGTTCGCCGAACGGTTCGCCGCGAACTCCAGTCAGCAGACACATTCCAGCCAATCAGCAGCAGACCCCCCCTCCCAGATCCTCCCACCTCCTGGACAGCATCCATTTTGAAGCTGCATTCTTAGTGAGCTGTCCAGGAGGTGGGAGGGTCTAGGAGGGAGGGTCTGCTGCTGATTGGCTGGAATGTGTCTGCTGACTGGAGTCCGTGGCGAACCGTTCGGCGAACCGTTCGGGACATCACTATTGTTATTATCCAGCTGTTTTGCAGCACAATGAATACTCCTGAAACTATCTGATATTGTTCTGGGTTAAGAAACAGCCCACTTTAAGGAGTAGTGAGGACAAATGTTATTGGGAAAAATTTAATTAGTCTATATATAGTAGGATAATTGCTCATACTGCAAGTTTCTCCATTTCTATTTTAACCCATTGACTTCAGGGGTTTTACTAGGAAATATCTTTTTTTTTTTTTCTTCTTTGTGGCATTTCTACAAACCACTTCATCTAATGTAGCAATTTTGGTACAGAGGCTCTTTCCCTTTTCCTGACAATGAAAAATTGTGCTATTTCTGAGAAAGAGAGCTCTTTACATTTGTCGAAACACACACTTCTAATAGCTGTCAAATTGGCAGCCACATAATGTCACCGAACACACAGAACACCACTGTTGCTTTTCATAGAGAACCATTGGATATACAGAAGCATCGGGTTTATTGCTTCTCTATGTGATTGGTGGAGCATGGAAATTGCTATGCATGTGCTTTAGATCCCATATGCTACTCTGTGAAAATGTGTGATTGAACTGAGATCACCGGTTTGGATGATCATACAGAAGACAAGGTGGCTGGATTATAGGTATTTTAATGTTTTGTTTTTTGTTTTTGTTTTGTTTTTTTACTTTTTTTTTGTTGCTATTATTTAAAGGGATACTTTAGGCACCAAAACATATGCTTAACCCCTTAAGGACACATGACCCTCACTACAGCGAAGTCACCAACTTACTGACCCACAGACGGCTCCTGCGGCAAAGTGCAGTCGGGACCTGCCACCCGGTCCATCCCTATGCAACGCTGCAAACCCTGCCAACCTACACGACACCCTAGCATTTCAGCTGAATCCAGTAGAGGATCGGGCAGACAAAAGGGATCAAACACAGTGCACCCACCCCTCTTACCACTAGTCACGCTGGACTCACTCCTACCATGCCACAGACTCTGCAGATCGGGGGTTGGTTGAGCATGAACTGCCAGGGAGACTCTCTCAAGGTCTGGGCTGCAGTCAGAAGGGATGGCTCCTGTCACTTTTGCCATCTATGCAACCTGATGCTCTCTTTTAATAACTTACACAGTTAAAACCACTTGCATAGCTTAAGCCTTGTCTACCATTTATTTTTATATTAATTTAGTTCTGCATTGAGTCATAGATACAAATCCAGCAAAGCAACTGTTTTAGCATATCTTGAAGCTTGATGTTTAACCTACTCTAACTACACTAACATAGCTAATCTAGCATTGTTAAGCATTAATAGTTTTATTTACTTTTACTCTGACAATATACACGTTTAGTCACGCTTGCTATCAAAATATAGAAAAATGTGCGAATTTCCATGCCACTGCCTAACTTTTGTAAATCCTGCAATACGCTGTTGTGGCGTCTGTTGATACCCTGTAACCACCTGCACAACAAAAATAAAGAATAAAAAAAAAGTGGAGACCATAAATCCAAAAGGGGAAAGGAAAACATCTAACGTTTAACGCAATCTGTTTTTAAAGTCAGAGTGTTCTTTTAAGAAGTTAAAAACGTTTTATTTTTGGCAATATGTGCCTAGTATTGCTAATTAGCACCAGCTTGCTTTATGACCTGGTGCATTTACCCTACTGCAGTTCCCTGACCATAGTGTCTAAAATACATTAAAGCATCTCAGTTAATTTTTGTCTATGGGATAATGTTGTCTTTTGTTTTTAGCATTTTGTGTGTATGGGCAAGCTATAAAATAGTTAATAAAGATAGAGTAAATCCTTCAACTTAAGTTATATGACCAAAACCAAACAAATTTAGATATGTTTAAAAATGAATGTAAAAGTTATGCTACATGCGTTTCAGTTTTCAGTGCAATAGTATTTTAGAATGGAGATACAAATTGCATCACAAAACATATTGAATATAGGTTGAATTTTAAATGTCAGGTTTTCTCTTTACTCCCCTTCCTGTTTTAATTGCTTATTTCCTCTGACATGCATAGAAATGCTTATCACTTAGGTCATTTCACCGAGCAATTCATATATAGATATTTCTAATTCTTTGAATGCGTAAAGGGTTTCTAAAGCGCCAGAAAAACAAAGTACCGTATATACTCGAGTATAAGTAGACACGCAGACCGCGAGACTTACAGTGGAGCTGAACGGCACGGAGGAGAAGGGAGCTGACAGGAGCTGCAGGAAAGGTAAGTAACAGCTCGCTGCCAGCCCCCCTCCAGCACAGCCCATCCACTGGACCACCAGGGAATGCTATATCCCCCCTCCCTGGCCATGTATGAAGCAGGGAGGGGGGACAAAAAATAAATAAATAAAAACATTTAATATTAAAATAATAATAATAAAAAAATTAATAATAAAAATGCCCACCCCCCACCAAGGTTACACACTCTGCATCACATACACAAACACACACTGCACTCATATACACACACACACTGCATTCATACAAACACACACTGCATCATATACACACACTGCATTCATACACACACACACTGCATTCATACACACACACACACACTCTGCATTATATACACACACACACTGCATTCATTATATACACACTGTAAATAAATATTCAATAAATATAATTTTTTTGGGATCTAATTTTATTTAGAAATTTACCAGTAGCTGCTGCATTTCCCACCCTAGTCTTATACTCGAGTCAATAAGTTTTCCCAGTTTTTTGGGGTAAAATTAGGGGTCTCGACTTATATTCGGGTCGACTTATACTCGAGTATATACGGTAGTTTTCCTGGCACTATAGAATCCTACAGTGTCCAATGTCCCTCGGCGCTGGATCATGCTCCGCCCACGCTCCTCCCCTGACAATGTCCGCTTTCCTATGGGGGAAAATCTGATGCTGGTGGTCCTAAAGCAGATCATGAGGCTGTCTAGCATCAGATAACGGACCAAAAGTTAGTTTCAAACTAGGAAGCCCTCTAGTGGCTGTCTGGTAGTCAGCCACTAGAGGTGGAGTTAAATGGACACTATAGTTACCAGAACAACTACAGCTTATTGAATTTGTTCTGGTGAGTAGAATCATTACCTTCAGGATTTTTGCTGTAAACACTGTCTTTTCAGAGAAAATGCAGTGTTTACATTACAGCCTAGTGATAACTCCACTGGCCACTCCTCAGCTGGCTGCTAGAGGTGCTTCCTGGGGCAGTGCGGCACAGTATACAGCACTGACATTCAGTGTCTTCTCCCTCTGCATGCAGATACTGAACTTTCCCCACAGAGATGCATTGATTCAGTGCATCTCTATGAGGAGATGCTGATTGGCTAGGGCTGTGTTTTGTTCTGCCCCTGATCTGCCTCCTTGGCAGTCTCAGCCAATCCTATGGGAAAGCATTGGCTCAGAACACCACTACTGATGATGTCAGTGAAGCATGCAGATCAGGGATAGAGCCAGCAGCAGCAGAATTAAACAAAAGGGATATTTTACTATATTTATGAGTGCATGAGAGTGCCAGGGAGTCTAAATGGTGGTTTTAACACTATAGGATCAGGAATACATGTTTGTGTTCCTAAACCCTATAGTGTTCTTTTTTTTCTTCAAATTTGTATTTTATTGAGTTTGCAGGAATAAACAGTACCATACACAGTTGCACATGTCAGAACAGTGAGTATAAAAAGGTGCAAGTCGCAGCTTGCTTCTGGATCATATAATTGCTGGTTTACAGGGCCTAGCACAATCATTAAGGAATGGATGAGTACCTCATGAGGACTTGTGTGCTATATACCCACAGTTGATGCATAGTATTAACGTACGATTCTGTGTAAGGAGAAAACAGTAACATAACGAAAAGGGGGAAACGTAAAGAGAGAGAGGGGAAGGGGGGTGGGGCATATTACGCTAGTCGGTAAGCATCCTAATTTTAAGTGTTCTGCGGGTTTCCAGAGGTTGAGCTCTGTACCTGTAGTGTTTACTTCTGTGGTCTATTGTTTGTCAAATTGGGCAGTTGCACCAAGTTTCTTGAAACTTGAGGGTCTGGGAGGGGGAGTTCAGAAACATTTTTTCATAAATGTAGTATTGCTGTACCTTATATTTCAATTGTGTCGCATATGGGCACATTGTGCTTTTCCAATTAGTCGCTATAAGATTCCTGGCTGCTAGGGAGATCAATGCTATAAATTGTCGCTGGGTTGGTTTTACCCTAGCGTCCGGAAGAAATAGTATGCAGTTGGAAATGGATGGGGAGAAGGCTGGGAGTCCCAACTGTACAAGCAGTGTGCGGACATCTTCCCATAGGGGTGTGATGCCAGTGCAGGACCACCAAATGTGCATCGTTGTACCCTCCTCCACCCCACATCTCCAGCATAGGGGAGACACCGTTGGGTATATCTTGTGTAATTTGGTTGGGGTAAGGTACCAGCGGTAAAGTAGTTTTTTGTGGGCTTCTATATGGGAATAGCATTTTGTTCACCTTGACAGCCCGTTCAGGGCCCCCAACCATTCACCCTCTGTGAGATTTATATCTAAATCTCTCTCCCACTGGGTTTTGCATAGCGGTGGTATATCTGGCTGTAATTCTAGCCATGCTCTGTAACATATGGAGAGGGCCTTGGGCTTAGTCTGTGTTTCTCTGCATCTGAGCATGACCAGGGAATGTGCTATCGGGCTTATTAAGTCAGTTGGGGTTGGCGGGTGTAAAGCATGGGAGGTCAATATACTCCTTACTTGAAGGTATTTGAAAGTGTCCTGGGCCGGTATTCCCCATTTACATTGTAAGTCAGTAAATGTTGAGAGTTTGTGTCGATCTTCCAGGAGGTGTTCAAGTCTGTTAATACCTTTGAGCGTCCAGTCTGTGAGAGACAGTGATTGGGTTACAGTTTTTAGTGCCGTCAAGGGGGCTTTGGGGTGTAGTTTGTGCTTGTAGCCTATTTGGGCCATAAAGGTATCCCACATCATTATGGTCAACCTAGTGGTTGGGAGAAGCGGTTTGTGAGCATATCGAAGGTGTTCTGGATTTGTCTCGAAATTGGTCCTTTTCCATATCCACCTATTGTGTGTGGCCTTGGGGTGAGTGTGCCGCAATGCTTGTTGCCAGGGCGGCAGCTTTAAAGTATAAGTGAATGTTGGGGAGACCCACTCCTCCCCTAGTAGGTGAGTTTTGTAGTAGTTTTAGGGGGAGTCTAGCTCTTTTGCCTCCCCAGATGAATGAATTGCAGGAGGACTGTAGAGTTTTAAAAAGTGCAGAGGGTATCGGGAGTGGGAGCATGCGGAACACATAGAGGAGTTTTGGGAGGGTCATCATTTTGAATGTGTTGATCCTGCCTAGCCACGTTAAGTGGGTCGCTTTCCACCCTACTAGTTTGTTCGTGCACATCTGTAGTAGGGGTGTATAGTTATGCTTTATGACGCCTGCTATTGTAGGTGCTATTTTAACCCCTAAGTATGTTAGGGTGCTGTTTCTCCAATCAAAGTGATATAAGGTTTTTAAGTTGTCTATTGTGTCTTTAGGTATTCCAACAGGTAGCACCTGTGTTTTATCCTGATTAAGTTTGTAGTGTGATATGTCCCCAAATTTTTTCAGCAGGGCAAGGATGTGGGGTAGTGCTCGTTCTGGATCTGAGAGGGATATTATGATGTCATCTGCAAAGAGGGCAAGACGGTATTCTTTACCTTTAATGGTTATACCCTGTAGGTGGTCATGGTCTCTGATTTTTTGGGCTAACGGTTCTAAGGAGAGGGTTTACAGCAGGGGGGAGAGTGGACAGCCCTGCCTAGTCCGATTGGTGATGGAAAACTTGGTGGATAGGAAGCCACCACATGACACCTTGGCAGCTGGGGTGGTGTACAATGCCATAATCTGGGTTATCGTGGATTGTGGTAAACCAAATTTGTGTAGTACCTTTTGCATATAACCCCAGTTGAGCCTGTCAAAGGCCTTTTACGCGTCTAGCGCCAAGAAAAGGCCCCGGCCCTTGGTTCCCTCCAGTTCAGCTAAGAGTTTTAGCACCTTCCTGGAGTTGTCTGACACTTGTCTGCCCTTAATAAAGCCAGTTTGGTCATTGTTTATGAGTTTGGGTAGGAGTCTGGCCAATCTGTTGCTCAGTAGTTTAGCGTATATTTTCGCGTCGCAATTGAGTAGGGAGATAGGCCTGAAGTTCTTGCACTCTGTTGGCGGTTTCCCTGGTTTAGGCAACGTGGAGATATGTGCTAACAGCATTTCATCTGGTAAAGTCCCCTTCAGTGTGCTATGGTTGAAAAGGTTCAGTAAGTGGGGGGCTAAAGTAGCTTGATACGTGCGGTAATAGGAGGTAGTGAGTCCATCTGGGCCGGGTGCTTTGTGCGACGGGAGGGAGTCAATTATGAAGGAAATTTCCTCGAGACTAAAAGGGGTGAGGAGAGATTCAGTTTCCTCTTCGCTCAGAGATGGGAGTGTGATGCTAGATAGGAACCCATCTATGTCAGTTATGGAAGGGG